TGTTTTTGACATATGGTGATAATATTTTCAATGGGGAATGCAAGAGGAATTCTTCTAGTACATGGTAGATTCTTATAGATGGAGATTCAGATTGGCTCTATTCATGAAGATGATCAAATGGAAGCTATATTTCAACATTCAAGAAGATCTATAATTGTTTTAGCTTATGAAAAATTGATGGAAGCTAATATTAAGGATAAGGACTATGGATATTATGAATGGTTTAGGAAACTTAATCTTAATCCAAGAGTGGAATTATTTTGGTGGAGATTGAGTAAAAATACAATTCCTACAAATCAATTTCTCAAATATAGAAGGCTAAGCAATGATGAGTTATGTGCTAGAGGATGTCAGGAGATTGATAGCTATTCATGTATTGTTGTTCATTGCAAGTATCTAAAGGAGGTTATTCTCAAGATTACATAATGGGTCTTCTTTATTCCGATCTTTGTTTCATTGGAAAGTTGTTTCAAGGAACTAAGAAGCCTATCTTTTAAACATATTAGTATTGTTAAGATGTATTGTGCAACTATTTTTTTATCTTGGAAAAACAAGAATGAAGTGAAGCATGGAAAATCTGCTCTTCCTTATTCGATGGTTGCAGCAAATGTGTTGTATATAGACATGATCCAATTAATTCCAATTCTAGATAACTAGGGTGCTAATCTCCTAAGGGAGTCTCATGAAACTTGGCACCCTCCACCTCTAGATTGGATAAAAATTAATGTCGATGCTTCTATATTGAGTTCGAATCAAGCTGGAATTGGAGGTATATTTAGAGACCATAAAGGAAAGTTGATCCTTGCATTCGGGAAGACTAGAGTTCATTGGGATCTTACACAGTTGGAGATGGAGGTGGTACTAGCAATAAGGGAGTTCATACAAAGTTGGATGATGGAGAGCAAAGGGGTTATCATTAAAAGTGATAATCTTAACATCATCAAATTCATTCAACACTCAATGAATAAATCCAAATGGCAATTGGATAATTGGGTGGAAAAAGAGCTATTCTTCCTAAATGATTTTAATAAAATCAGTTTTCAACATGTTAATAGAAAGTGTAATAAAGTAGCAGATCTTTGTGCTACTATTGCTTTAGAAAATAGTTTTGTTTTTGATAGTTTTTCTTTTTACAACATTCCTCCTTCATTTCTTAGATTGTTAAAGGAGGATTGTGATCCCTTTAGTACTTGTACTTAGTTTTTATTTGGATTAATGCAATTTGCAATCTATCAAAAAAAAAAGTACTCTTAGTTGTGAGATTATCTTCCAAATATAAGAGAGGAAGACATCACTCTCTTATATGAAGAAGAGTAAACCATAAAGAAAAACCCAATCCATGTGATAGAAACAAACAACTTGATTAAGAAAACTTTAAGGGGATTCATTTACTTTTAAAAATATTCATAAGAGATGAAGCAGATCTCTATTTCTAGGTCCAATTTTTAATTTTAAATATTTTTATTCAAAAAGAAGTATCACCCCTAAAGTAGTTAGAGGAAGAGGGATATTCGTCAATTTCTCTTCCTTTAACTATTTAGAGAATCCAATAATCACTTACCAAAATTTTTAAGTAAAAAGAAGGTAAACTTTTTATTTTAAGAATAAATGTGATTAGAGAGAAGTGATTTGATTCTCTTATGTAAATATAATGTGAAATCTTATTTGTATGTGTTGATCAGAGGGTATCCTAAAAAACATACATAGAATAAAATTTAAAAGATTACAAACATAAATATCTTACTATAAAACAAAAATACTAAAACAACATAGAAAATAAAAGCATTTATAGCGAACAAAAATAAAGCAAAGAGAATACACACATGCACTAACTATAAGACATTTAAACACACAAATAAGACTTTATACCTCATCCTCTTGCTCTTGGTCTGATGATTTAGAAGCTAGGTATGCCCAAGAGATCTTTTGTTTTTTATTATTTTTTCTTATTATGATTAAATTTTTTTTACCCTTTCTTTTGCATGAAGAGTTTTTATATTAGGGCACTAATTTTTCGTATGTTTGGGTTTCCTATACCCAAAATAAAAAAAGTCGGAGGAAATCTTAAAATTCATACCTTTTTTACCTTTATTCTTCTTTTGTTCATGTTGATGCTTGCAATTCAGTAGATTTTGAAATTTACTTGTTATTTATAATATTTTCTTACTCTCATCATCTACCAAGTTGCTTTTATCCATGTCTTTAGCTTTTAGCACTATAGTTTTACCTACATCCAAAAGTCTTTGACTCACACTTTGCTCGTAGGAAATGAGGGAGCCAATTAGATTATTAATAGAATAATCATTCAAGACTTATGATTCAGATATAGAAGTGACTTTAGAATTAAATTTATCAGGTAGATAACATAGAATTTTAATGACCTTTTCAAAGTTTAAATGATCTCTACCTAAAGTATGTAAGGATGTTACTATTTGAGTGAACCTTTTATACATGTCTAGGAAGTGTCATAAGGTTTCATGAAAAATAGTTCATAATCATGCACTAAAATATTTTACTTAGATTGCTTGACTTCACTAATACCTTCATATGTAATGCATAGTTTATCCAAAATTTCTTTTCCAGTAGTATATGTAGAAAATTTTATGCAATATTAAGAATTTAAAATATAAAAAGAACAATTCAAGCATTTAGTATTCAATTGAGCATTGATTTATTAAATTCTACATCAATGAGTAAAAGAAGTATAAGTTTTGACTACATTTATAATACATGATGGTATAGAATAACCAATTTGAATCATATGCAATATTCAATAATAAATTGATTGCAAGAACATAGATATGCAAATTTTCAAAAAATTAAAAGAAATGTTTTCAAATAAAGTTGGTCACATGATTGAATATCCTTATGCAATATTATGATTTCTAAAGTTAACCATTGAATTTTTTTTAAAAGTTTTCTAAAACTTAATTTATGAATCCCGCTTTAATACCACTTAAAAGTTCGTGAAGGTCATAGACCTTATAAAACTAGTCCCGAGGCTAACCAAGAGGCGGGTGAATTGGATATGTAAAAAAAATTAACAAAAAGAAAATCTTTTTATAACATGATGTGAAAGTAAAGTAAATTTACAATAAAAAGATAAATCATTGTTTTCACTCACACTGTTAATTGTAAAAAAATAAACTGTGAAAAGTAATAAGAAAAAATGCACCAAAATTTATAGTGCTTTGTTCAACTTGACTTACATCCACTTCTTGGAGACCTCCTCTGCAAGTATTGCACTAAACCCTTAGTGCCTCTCCTTTAGCTACCCACAGCTAGGTGGAGAAGTCCTTACAAAATCTCTTCCACCAACCCGGTGTGGTAGAGGACCTAAAATCATTTTTCACCCTCCAGGTGATGACAGAGAACCAAGAATCTTTTCACATGTAGAGAACCTTGAGTCCCTTTCACCTTCTCTAGTGCGATGGAGAATCTCGGTCCTTTGACTACAAAGAGATCTTCTTTTTCCCAAAACTTTCCTCAAGATAAACCTTGACTATGATGGTACTAAGTTGCAAGATTGTCATAGCAACCATGTGAAACACTTGCCACACTTTCTTAAAAACCACAAGGATCTTCTCCTCTCAAACTCCACCCTTTCTTCTAAGCCTTTCAAGGCTCTCTCTTCAAGTTTTCTCTAGAAGAATAATGACTCAATGCATGTGAAATACTCATACTAACTCTTTTGAGAAATCTGAAATAGAGGGCTTTGAAAAATCTTAGAAACTCAATTCTAGCAGCATTGATCGTCAAGTATGATCTATGATCATATTGTATAGTTACTTCAAAATAGCCCTTCCAGCTAGTACAAACAGCATTGTCCTATACGATCAGTTCAAAGGTTTGTATGATGGTCCAATATGATATTGTGGATCATCATGTATTATTAGTTTGGGGATTATGCTATTTTTTTGTAAAATAGTGGATGATTAATTATTATGCCATGTAATGATTGGGTCATACAATACTATCAACACCAATCATTTCGTATAATCTACTTAAAGAAATTAATCATAATTACTCCTCTAATCATAGGATAAATTTAGGAATGATTATCATCTATCATAAGTACAATGTATATCATACAGTGTGATTCAAATGAAAAATTAATTTCAAAATTATGATTGGTAGCTTGGTTTCTTGATTTAAATAGATCATTATGTATAATGTGAATCGTATAATATGATTAGTTTAAAATACATGATTATCAAAGTTAGTCATTTATATGAGTTGATCATACATTGTGATATAAATTTTAAAGCATGATTAGTTAAAATTTTGATCTTCTAGTTTGACAAAATTTTACTCCCTTTAAGTGTGTGTGTGTGTGTGTATGGTCACCAAGCTAGCATACACCCTTATAGGACTTGACTCAAGAAATCATAAATACATAAATGAATATTACAAATTCTTTATAACATAACCTATTCTACCCAATCTTGAGCTCTGAATCATCATTGGAAGGTGCATGATATTCCTGAAATGTTTTAGTGCGCATAAAAATAAATATAGAATGCAAACACTAGGAGACATAATGATGCGAGCCATAATATTTGTTATCATAAAAAATTTAAATTGTGAGCTCGAGTTGCAACACAACCTAGAATATATGTATTTAAATAGGGATTATATTGTCTTCTAATTATGTTAACATTTTCTAGCCCTTATGTAGTATTATATTCAATTGAATTTTTCTCTCCAAAGAATTCAATTCATATCCTAAAATTTACTCATATATAATTCAATTTTCTTGAAATTTCTACAACTAGTGCATTTAAGAATGATAAAGCTTTATATTCATAAATTTTGACTACTTTTTTAGGATTTACCCTATCATCAGGACAATAAAATTATTACTATCCATTTATTCAATTAATTAATAAACTTTTTCAAATGGCTTAGACACTAATTATCCTCTAGCTATAATATCAATTATAGATCTAAGAGATCCTACTAATCCATTATAAAATGTTTGAATAACCAACCAATTAGGTAATTCATGATGAGAGCACTTTCTAAGCATTTCATTTAATTATTCCCAACTCTCATAAATGGATTCTCCTTTAAATTGAGTAAAATAAGTTAAGTCATTTATAGGTTTGGAAATTTTTTAAGGTGGAAAATGCTTAGCAAGAAACTTATAAACCAACTCATTCCAAGCTGTTTTAGAACATGGGAATAAATAGTATAACCACTCTTTAACTTTATTTTTAAGAAAAAAGGAAAGTAATCTTAGTATAATATCATCATAACTAACACAATTGAACTTAAATATTGTAAAAATTTCTAAGAAATAAAAATTCGGGGTCTTCTATAGGAGTTCCCCCAAACTAAGATCTTTGAACCATTTGAGTGATTATTAGTTTTAATTCAAAATTATTAGCTTGTAATATAGGTATACTTATGCTCAGATGAATTCCATCTACTAAAGGATTTGTGTAATTCTTAAGAGGTCTAGAATGATTTTTCTCTAACTCTGGTTTAGCCATTTTAAAAACCTGACTAATTTTCTAAATTTTAGAAAGGGTTTTCTCAAATTCAGATCAAATGATAAATGTTCCTTTTGATAGTTATAAAGGATGCAACCAGTAAAAATAGAATATATAATTAACAATTCAAAGAAAACAATAAAAGAATAAGTAGGTCTAACTATGCAATTAATTCAAATATATAGTTAAAATTTTGAAAAATTTTAAATATGACCCTGACAACTACACCAAAAATATGATGGGGTCTATGGAGTAACCTATAAAATTTTGAAATAATTTAGGGCTTGATCAATCTCTAATAATTCATAGGTTTTTTATGATATAAAAATTATAATAATCCAACTTAATATAAGCAAGTAAGATATGCACACTTGCAAAAACTAGTACTGTCTACCAAAATTATATTAATCATCCTACTAAATAAAAATGGATGTTGTTGAGATTCACTTACTTAAATAAATTTAGTTAAAGATAATGAATTCACTATATAAATAAAATGTTTTGGATTGATGAATATAAATTTTTCCTAATGAATTCACTTTTAATTTTAATGATATTCAGAGCATATGCATCCCTATATCTTTATCGATCTTGTAGGAACAGAGAATGTCCACTGACTTCCTAAGATTATCTCATCTCCAAAAGACTTTAGTACATTTCATACCTTACTCATAAGTATGACGCATACTAATTTAATATTTCTGGCTATACCTACTTCCCTCCATTGAGGCTCCATATAACACCTAATTTTAATTACACATATGGAAACTATGTCCATTAAACTAATATATGGTAATATTGAAAACATTATTTTAATTACTTAAGGAATAAGAGAACTTATCATTACTACATATGATATTTTCATTATCAATCCAAAACTAGAGAATCTATCCACATATGAAGTAAAATTGAAGCACTCATTTTCATTAATAGCATTATAGAAAGAAAATCCAATATATAGATATCACTAGAATGGTTCAATGGATCTCCTCTACACTACTTTTTATGCTTATAGAATTGCTTCTACAAATACAAGCTAAACACTCTAATGATGGTATCAAGTACTTCCCTAAATTCCCTTAGTTGTCACCCAAGTGGAAATTCATAGAAGCACTCTAAATTGTACTAAAATTGTCTAAGTGGTTGAACTCCCTGAAAAACATAACATAGTGATTATTTATAGGAAAACACAGTAAGAAACTATCACTGTGACGCATAAACGTTTGGCTCCACTAAGCCAAATAAATGAACTAATCATGCTATTGTTATGGCTCCGTCATGGTGCTTGCTAACATGGATTAGTTACTTAGTTAATGTCACATCATTTTGTAGATAGGTTATTTCCTTGAGAAGTTACAATTTTTACGCCATGGCACTGCTAAAGATTGAATGTTGCAGTGCAAGAAGAGCAATTTTAACATTGAGGCATGATAGTTTGTGATGCTACGGTACTTGAAGATAGTAAGCTTAGCGCTACGAAGTTGATATGTTAATGTTGTGTTACTACCCAACAAATAATTTAGCACCATAATGTCCTTGTTATAGTGCTCCAATAGTGTCCTTGAAGGTACGACAACATTGATTTGTTTGATGTTGTGCTACTGGATGATACTTAGAATTTTGTGATTTTTTTTATAATTTTCATGCACATCATAGCTAAAATAATATATTTTCACTGAAAATATAATACATAAAATATATATTATATACACTTATCACTAGACTTGTCTAGATATATCATTTTGGCTATAATGAACTACCATCTTTTCCAAAGTGATTTCCACTATACTCTTTTTCATTCTCTTATTGATTAATTTGAGTATTATTGGGCAATATTACATGGGATCTACTGCTAAAAGTGATTGTAAGCTATCATAATTAATTTTTTACATTTTTAATTAAAGCAGTGTGACTTTTTAATTTGATTACTAACTAAATCACAACCTCATTCAAAGGTTTCTTCCTATGTCTAAGTTGACTACGCATCAAGCACCCCAAAAAAACACCACGAGCTGGGCCAAAAGGTCTAGCACACCATGAATAGCAACCATTAAAGCAGAGCTGACAAAATACTCCCAGGAATAGAAAAGCGATAATAAAGATATTAATCAGGGAAAAAGAAGTTCCAATCATTGCTCAAATCCCAAATAAAAAAATCACAACAAGAAGAACAGACAAAAGGCAGCAGCCTCAAAATCAACCTACATCACGCCAGACAATAAAACAATTATAAAGTCTAACATATGGTAAACCCATTTTATCTAACCTAATCAAACCATTAAGCACATTAGGCAAATTTGTAACAGTGAAATCCATAATCGTATTCAAATTACACCCCAAATTCATAAGAAAATCAGTACACAAATTTCCTTCCCTGAAAACTTGAGTGATAGTAAAGTTCACTGAACTTAAAAGCTGATTAATATTATGGATAATGTATAAATAATCCAAATTGAAAATACTCTTAGTATGCTTCATGAGGTAATGGATACTAGACGTAGCATCCACCTCAATCTAAATATTAGTAATATAAAGAGAAATATAAGCTTTAAGACCATTAAGATAAGCATCTAGTTCAACCAAAACCACCGAGCACTTCATAAGAGGGGAAGCAAAGGCGAAAACCATGTTCCCTTGAGCATCCCTACTAATCCCCCCACACCCGTAAGAGTTCTTCTTCACTGCCCCATCTATATTTAACTTATACATATTACAGGGGGGGTTGATCCACTGCACCAACTTATGGTACTCTAAAGTACTTTTATAAGGCAAGGATATACCAAAAATATGGGAAACAAAAAAAAAATTTTAAAATTTTTTTGGAAGTAAAAGATTGGTAGCAAAAAGCTTACAAACCCTATCTTTAATACTCCTAATAATGTGATGGGAGTCCATGTTATAGATATTGAACACATAATTATTTCTAGCAAGCCAAAAAATCAAAGTCTAAGATAAGGAATCAAAATTTTAATATGCTCTTTAGTGTTGATGAACCAGTAAAGGAGTAAAGTATAAAGAGTGATGTGAGTAGTGAATTAAAAATATCATCCAAATAAAACCAGATTTTAGTAGCAATCAGTTCAGAGAAAAAGATATGGTGCATATTTTCTTCATGAGAGCGACATTGGCACTTGGAAGTAATATTAAAGCCTCTTTTTCTCAGATTTTCACCAGAAGGAATGTAGTTATACATGATTCTCCAAACAAAATATAAAATATTCTTAGGAATACTCTTATGACAAATCATGGCATAAATTTATTAACAACATTCTTCTCCCTGAAATCAGGTCAAGCTTCTATTAAAGAGAACATCCCATTATAAGAAAGATTACAGAGAATTAAGTCATTTGTATCAGTATTAATACGAATATTCAAAATAGTAAAACAAAAAAATGTCTGGAATACTATCAGACAGCTTATTGTATTCCCACATGTTATCAGAAATAAAATCATGAACTTTTAAGGTGGACAAGGAAGAAGTGTAGATAAAAGAATCAATGGATCATCCATGAAGCCACTGATCTTGCCAGAAGAAAATGTTCACTTTGCCCAAACCCCATTTGACATGGCATTAAGCACTCCACTTGACTTTTCAAAGTCTATTCCAAACCTAGAATCACCCTTATTATAAAAGCACATAGTAGTATGCTTATCATTACAATATTTTAAATTCATAAATCTAGCCCATAGAGAAAGTTTAGAGTTAAAATTAAACCACAATTTATAAGTGAAAGCATGAGCTAAATCTCAGATGGTCTTGTAACCTAAAGCCCCTTCTGCCAACAGACCATAACAATTGTGTCAAGAGGACCAAATCACTTTACGATGCACATTAGAGCCAGGACAAAAGAACTTGTTAATAACTTTCTCAATCCGGTTACACACCTCACGGGTGGGATCCAGAGTTTGAAAAATACACAGGTAAGGAGCACAAAACACTTTTAATAAGAGTGAGTCTACCACCAAAGCTAAGAAAATTTGAATTCCACAAAAAGAGCTTATTGTGCACATTCAAAAAAAGGTCATCAAAAAGGAAAGTCATTTTCATACCCATGTAAATGGGGACACCCAAGTACTTAATGGATAAAAAACCTTCAGTAAAACCAGTGCAATTACTAATAGCAGTCATCCTATCTTGGGAAACCTTTTTAAAGGCAACAAAATAGCTCTTATTTTTTATTAACTGAAAGACCACTAAAAGTTTCAAATTTGTTTAAAAAGCTCATAAGGTTTTTGATCCCGTTAAAATAAGCCTTCAAAAAAATGATAACTTCATCACCAAAACATAAGTGAGAAATAGGAAAACCCCCCAAAGTTCTTTAATTATTTCTAGGGTTTCTCAAAAAGATTGGAAATACCTCTAGAAAAAAATTCCAAAGCAATAACAAAAAGAGCTGGAGATAAAGGATCACCTTGTCTCAACCCATGGGATGAATTAAAGAAGCCATTGCATTTATCATTAATTATAATAGAGAAAAACAATTTTTAATATATAGCTTAATTAGGTTAACAAAACCATTATCAAAGCCAAATAAACCTAAAACATGATAAAGGAAATCCCAGTTAATGTTATCATAAGCTTTGACAATGTCTAACTTGAAAATAATGATAC